AAGTGAGGGCTTTTCTTATTTATTTTTAAGATGGAACATATTTGAGAATGTTCCCATGATGATGAGAAAGATGTAGACTAATGGAATCCTAGACCTGGTGAGTTGAGAAATAAACTTGGTACATGGGCATGCATGTCTAAAATCCTAAAAGGAGAAGCGAGGAGATGAGATTATGGTGTGGCTATTCCCCATAATGCTGTCTATACTTTCTCTTTCTCTCTCTCTGGTAAGCACATGCATTGTATAGTAAATTAAAAATAAAAAATTATATGTGTATGGGGGATTTATAAACTAAACTATCCAGACATCATTTATATGTTTTGTCAGGGGAAGGAAGTTTCATATTGTCAACTTGTTGGTTTCTATGCCTTTTAAATAATGTGACTTGGGATGAGAAGAGCGTGGTGTTAAGATGGTTCTGGGAGGCCACAGTGAGCTGAATATGTGTATGTGCTATGGGTGTGTTCATGTACTGTGTGTATGTGTGTGTAAATGTGTGAAGATGAGATGTTTTTAGATGAGAAATTGCTTCAGAATAAGGGACATGCCTCAGTATTGTACTCATAAAGTCCAATACTTATGGATGAAATGGCATATGTATAGTGGGAGTCTTTGTGCTTTCAAATTTCAGCAGCAAAAAGGCCATTTTTAAAAAATATTTTAAATTGGGACCAGCAGTTAGCGTAATGGCTATGTCACTGGACTCCCACATAGTCGACCGCAGTTCGAGTCCTGGACCTGGTGGCTTAAGCTCATGCTGGGCGCATGTGCATGCCAACCCAAGATCGCGAAAGGAAAATGGAGAAGGGATTGCGGCATGGCCATTCACCCTGAAGGGTGATTTCCTGCTTCCTGTCTCTCTGTCTCTGTCTGTCTGGCGAGCGCACACACCCTATAGCAAAAACCTCTCCAAAAAAAGAAAAAAAAATTAAAAAAAAATTTTAAAAATTTTCCAGAAATATTTTAATAAAAATTGGCCATTTCCAAGAAACATCTAGTGCATGCACATCAACAAAAAAATAGAAATTTCACCATATGGTTATGATTTAAAGAAAAAAAAATCTGGGACTAGCAGGTGGTGGAGTGGTTAAGGCATTGGACTCCCATAGAACTTGACCATGGTTTGAGTCCTGGACTCGATGGCTTGAAACATGCTGGGCACTTGTGTATGCATGCCAAAAATCCCAAGAGGCCATCTCCCCTGGAGGTGATTTTTCACTCTCTGTCTCTGTGTCTCTCTGGCTAGCACATGCTCCCTATAGCAAAAACAAAACAAAACACAAACAAACAAACAAACAAACAAAAACAAATTCTAGAAAATAAGAAAAATAAAAGAACTGCAGACATTTGAGCACATCAGCAAAATTCAGTTGAAGGTCATTTTTTTTGAGAGTTTTTTTTGCTGCAGGGCGCGTGCACTCGCCAGACAGACAGAGAGAGACAGAGAGACAGAAAGCGAGAAATCACCCCCCAAGGGGGATGGTCAGCTTTGATTTTTGGCAAAATTTGCGAATCCACAGCTTTCTGATCAATCTTGCGCTGCTCTGAAATCTCGTATTTCTCCTTCTCTGAGTCGAAGATCTCACCTTCCTGGTGTCTGGGCTTCTGCAGTTTCTTTTTCTTTGGAGAGTTTTTTTATTTTTTCGCTATAGGGCGCGTGCGCTTGCCAGACAGAGAGAGAGAGAGACATAGAGACAGAAAGTGAGAAATCACCCCCCAGGGGGGATGGTCACGCCGCAATCCCTTCTCCTCCATTCTCCTCTCGGGATCTTGGGCACACACGCACATGCGCCCGGCGTGAGTTTTAAGCCACCGGGTCCAGGACACGAACCGTGGTCGACTATGTGGGAGTCCAGCGACATAGCCATTACGCTAACTGCTGGTTCCCCCCACATTACTTCTTATGGTCTATGATAGCCATGTTATTCCTTCTTACTTTTTGACACCATCTCTCATCACTCTTTTCTTGTTCATTCCACTGCCACACTGGCTTCCTTGTTGATCTTAAATATATGAAAGCAGCGCATTGCCCAGGGGCTTTGCACTGGCCACTTGTCCTGCTTTGCAAATGCTTCTCTCTCTTCATTATGGTCTTTGTTGCATTATTAACTCATCTGCTGGTCTTGCCCAAATGACTAGTAAAAAATAGCACCCTATACAAATGTTCTTTTTCACCTTCTTTCTTCCTATTTATGGAATTAGTCTCCATTTGATATAGTATATGGTATGTATATTTTTTATTTGCTTGCAGTCTATCCTTATAGTAGAGACATTTTTTTAAAATAGAGTTTTTAATTTCAAGAAAAGCAGTTTTAACTTTAGTAAATCACATAAATGCTAAGGAACTTTGCTTAAAACTTAAAGCCAGGAAATAGGTTAAGATTCTTTTCAAATAGAAGGTACATGAACCTATCGACAGCTCAAGACAGGACAAAAATTCTTTTTTTTTTTTTTTATTTTTATTTTTTCGCTATAGGGCGCGTGCGCTCGCCAGACAGACAGAGAGAGACATAGAGACAGAAAGCGAGAAATCCCCCCCCAGGGGGGATGGTCACGCCGCAATCCCTTCTCCTCCATTCTCCTCTCGGGATCTTGGGCGCGTACGCACACGTGCCCGGCGTGAGTTTTAAGCCACCGGGTCCGGGACACGAACCGCGGTCGACTACGTGGGAGCCCAGCGACATAGCCATTACGCTAACTGCTGGTTCCCAAGACAGGACAAAAATTCTTAAAACCGGAAAACAAAGCCTAGAAGAAAATCAGCGATGTTTTAATCAAAAGTCATCAAATGCTGTTTCACCAGTTCAGTCTCATGTACTTAATCTATCTTTTGTTGTGGTTAGATCTTCCTAATTAAATTCTGGGATGAAATATTCAATTCTAGACTTGTCTCTATGATTAAGTTGGCTATTTTCTTAGTTTTTGAGTTCCTATTTCTGTGTGTCTGTATTTAATTTTCCTGGTACAGCATTCCCTTGGGAACTTCTTGGAGATCTCTTCTGGTGTTGGTAAATTCTGGTCAATCTGGCTAAAATGTGTCTTGGAGAAGATCTTCTTGGGTTGATTCTATTAGGGGTCCTTTGTATTTCTTGGGACTGAATCTTTGAGTGCCTCTCTAGGTTTGGATAGTTTTCTGTCAGGATTTCATGGAATAGATTATCAATGCTCTTCGCCTTCTGGGACACCAATTATATGGATGTTTGAACATTTGTGGTATCTAGTATTTCTCATATATTATTCTCATTTTTTAATAATTATTTTATTGTATTTATTCATTCATTTATTTTTTAATTTGACCAGAGAGAGACAGACGTTGAGAGTGAGAGAGAGAGGAAGTGAGAAAGCAAGCCACCAGATTCAGGACTCGAACCCTGGTCAGCCATGTGGGAGTGTCCAGTGCCTTAACCACCATGCCACCTGCTGGTTCCTATTATTCTCATTTTTTATTGGCAATTTTCTCAGTCTTTGTGATGGATTTTTCTAAGCCAGTGATTTGTCTTCTATGTCTGAGATTTGATTTTCTGTATGATCTCTTCTGTTTTTATTTCTTTCAAGGGATATTTTTACTTCCTGTATTATAGCCTCTATCTCTAACAAGTCCATTTGATTATTTTTTATAGTGTGTATTTCCTCTTTTAGATCTTGCAAGAATTTCCTTGCCTTCTGGAAATCATCAACTGCTTTCTCCTTGCCTCTTCTGCAGTTCATTGTCTCTCTTTTCTTCCATCTCTCTGTTAGCATTGTCATTATGAGTATTCTAAATTCTATACCAGACATTTCCATGATTTCCATTGAACTGTCTGTGGATGAAGAGATTTTACCTTGGAGGAGAGATATTTTCTTGCTTTTATAGATTTTTTTGTGACCCTGCAATGATACCTAGTCATCTGATGGATGGTGTGTTCCTTCCTAATTCTTGATGTTTAATCTGAGTGTTCAGGAGCATGCAGAAGGAGGTGATCTGGAATCTCTTTGCTGTTTCATTTTTATCCTTTTTTGCAGCAGATTCAGTGGGTATTAAGGAATATATTAATCCTAATATTATTTGGGTCTTTGGTATGGTTCCCTTAGATACATCTAGAAACACAGTGAATGGAGATTGAGGAGCAGAGTGATGAGATAAAAGAAAAAGAAAAGAAAGGAGAGAGAGAGAGAGCGAGAGAGAGAATGAAAGAGAGAGAAAATGAAGTAAAAAAGAAAAAAGCAATAAAAAATTTATTTAAAAAAAAGACAAAAACCAAACCAAAACAAAACCAAAAAAAATCCTGCGTGGTGTGCTCAGTGAAATGACCAGTTCTCACAGCAATGGAAGAGTCTTCTTTGGAAGACAATGCCCCTTCTCTCTCCTACAGGGGAGAGGAGACAGGTTTATTAGCAAGATAAAGGAGGAGTTGAAAGCCAAGATAATACTTTACCTTAAAAACATTTAAAAAGGAAAAATTACAAAAAAATTAGAAGACATAGAGGGAGGCAGAGAGAGACAGACAGAGTTAGAAAGAAGAGTAGAGGGGTTCCATATTGCTCATGTTGGGGGCTGGAGGCTGAATTATCAGTAGAAAATCTTCATTTCTCTTTTTTCTCTGAAATGACTAGGTCTCACAGCAATTGAGGAGTCTTCTTCTGAAAGCCTGCCCCTTGCTACTCCACTTGAGTTGGGGGCTAGAGACTCTAGGAGAGCTATATTTATCATAACTCTGTTCATCCCTTGTCTAAATAGTGTCTGGAACATGTCAAAATTAAATTTATATTCCTCAACTATATGATAAATTTTGCCATTAAATCTGTAGTAGACATGCTCTTCAAGAAAGGCTGAGGATAGGGCAGACATTCCTAATTTTAAATGGTAAGGGAATTCCCTAAAAAGGAACAGATTCACACACAAAATATAGATACCATGTTCTAGATTATAGAATAAAAATGATGGCATTTTTAGCAAGTGAGTAATGTATATTTATGTAATTTTCTTTTTCTTATTTGTTTTGGATAGTTACCTTCACCTTATGGAGCCTGGAAATGATACAAAAACTTCACATTTTCTTCTTCTGGGATTTTCAGAGGAAGCCAGACTGCAGCCCTTCCTGTTTGGGGTGTTCCTGTCCATGTACCTGGTCACCATGCTTGGGAACCTGCTCATCATCGTGGCCACCATCTCAGACTCTCTCTTCCAAATGCCCATGTACTTCTTCCTCTCCAACCTCTCCTTCGTTGACATCTGCTTCATCTCCACCACGGTCCCAAAGATGCTGGTGAATCTACAGACACACAGTAAAGCTATAACCTACGAAGGCTGCCTCACCCAAATATACTTTTTTGAACTTTTTGCAGTAACAGACATTTTTCTGCTGACCGTGATGGCCTACGACCGGTTTGTGGCCATCTGCCACCCCTTGCACTACACTGTCATCATGAACCCTCAGTTCTGTGGATTACTGGTTCTGGTTTCCTGGGTCATAAGTATCTTGAATTCTTTTTTACATACATTGCTGGTGTTGCGGGTGTCCTTCTGTACAGATGTGGAAATTTCCCACTTTTTCTGTGAATTTATACTGGTGGTCCACCTTGCCTGTTCTGATACTTTTCTTAATGACATGGTCACGTATTTTGCAGTTGTGCTGGTGGGTGGTGGAACCCTTTCTGGTATCCTTTACTCTTACTCTAAGATTGTTTCCTCCATCTGTGCCATTTCATCAGTTCAGGGGAAGTATAAAGCCTTTTCCACCTGTGCCTCTCACCTCTCTGTTGTTTCCTTATTTTATTCTACAAGCGTGGGTGTGTACCTTAGTTCTGCTTCTAAACAGAACTCGCACTCCAGGGTAGTAGCCTCTGTGATGTACAGCATAGTCACCCCCATGCTAAACCCTTTCATCTACAGTCTGAAGAATAAAGACATAAAGAGAGCTCTGCAAAAATTCCTTAGGGGCAAGGAATAAAATATGCACTTTTCAGAAGTGGTTTGTGAATGCAGGGTTCTACCTCTCAGAGACAGAAATTGTGATCTTTATATTGATGGTGGAAACACAATTTGCTTCATCTTTTTATTTTGAGGGTTTTCCATTTCTCTGATCTCCACTACTTTATAACATATGTTATTTCTTTTAGGAAAGCCTTATGCTGAAATATGAAATGATAGTATAAAATTACCTTCAGGCTATATGCATAATTTGTATATAAAACATAAATAAATTTACTGTTTAAAATTGTACCTAATCCCCAAGATATCTCAATATGTATGAGAAAATATTCCAAATCTTTCTTTTATTAAGCATAATCCAAAATACTTCTGGTTCCAAGCATTTCAGATATGGAAATAACACTTATGCTGTGAAGAGTTGTCTTAGTCTAGTGGAAATAAACAACACCTGTCAGGTATAATGTTATGATATAATTTTGTCATTTATAACTATCTGAAAACACAGTTAGGTCCATCATTCATTTCTGTATAACTGCCTTAACTACTCTTCTTGATAATTTAAACTTTAACATAATAGTGTGCTCTATATCTAGTTATGGGATTTTACATTGTCATTGGTATCATGTTTTCTTAATCAGCTCAGATTCACATTGCCTATTACATAATCTGGCAAGGAGTTGTAGTGCAAAAGTAGCTTATCAAATATATATTCCAAGTATAGTTCACACAGAAAGACTTATTATCTTAAATATGATATAGTGACATTTTTATTGATACACTGAATTATTATAGATGATTTCTTTTTGATGAGATACATTGATTCAGTGACTATGGATGATGGTGTTCACATGTGTTTCTGTTGGAGTACAGGCTTTGATGTCATTCTTCTTTTTTTTTTTTTTAAAGAGATTTTTGATATGTGACATGTGTGATCGCCAGATAGAGAGAAAGTGAGAACCACCTCCCCCAAAGGGGAATGGCCATGCCACAATCCCTTCTTCTCCATTGTCCTGTTGGTATTTTAGGCACACACGAACGTGTGCCTAGCCACATGGCAGTTCACCCTTTAACCAACATGCCACTTACCGGTTCCCTCTATATTGTCTAATAGTATCTTCTTGCTATTTCTGCTTAAATATCTTCAGTGTTGTCTACAAATATCACTACATCCACTGTCCTAATAAGTATCTCTACCTTTTAAATCATCCCTCAGAAGATGGTTTCATAGTTTGCCTCCCTGTCTTCTCTAATGAGCACATGTGCCATTTTGCAAAAATCTAAAATAATAATAATAAAGTTAAAATAATTGTCCAAATGCTGAGGTTGAATATCCATATTTATTGCATCATCAGTGTTTTTTTTTTTTTTAATACTGTAAGCTCTCTTTAATTTTAATGGTCAAAGGATGATTTACCAAAGAACTTGAATTATTCCCCTGGAAATAAAGGCTTTTATTTCAGAGTCACAAGCTAAAAAACACAATGAAACCTCAAACATTCATGGAAAATGGAATTAAAGTACAAGTTTATATTGATGTGGAAAACTTTTGAAATCCATGCATAATTTTTTCTTAATATGCATTTTTTAAAATAAAATTTCTAAAACACTCTCATATATATTCTTTCAAACTCTCCTGTTACCTGGGAGGGAACTAAAAGATAGTATATAT